CTTTTAATTAATTTTATTTTGTTTTATTCTCTTGAACTTTATTTAATCTTTTAAGTTTCTTTCATTCTATTTTATTTTACTTTATTCTATATTATTTCATTTTATTTTATTTTACTTTATTTTGTTTTGTTCCGTTATTTCGACTTGTTTCAACACCCTACCTGGCATTTTCCAAGCAACACAACTCAACCGAATAAAGAACTTCTAAATCAAAATTAGCGTAACCCAAAAACAAATAAAATTCAGCCACCACACACACCTCTTTTATAGAAATCAAAACAAAAAAGAAAACTTGTTTTTAATATTTTCTAAAAATATGCATTTGTTTGCCAATTTATTTATGCAATTTTTGATTCTAAAGTATTTATATATATTTATAAATTTAAAACTAGTCACGAAGCCAAAGTTGTTTCAACATTGAGTAACAATTTGTTGCTTTCATGAGTTTTTCAACTTAAATTTGTATTTATTTTTTATATATAATATGTATAGGTATGTATTTTTATGTAAACATTTAGATTATAAGTTTCATTTTATATATAAATATGTAAAACAAAAGAATATCTTGGGTTAACATAACAGTTAAACGAAATAAAACATTAAGTTCGAAAAAAAATAAAAAGTTTGATTTTCATAAACATAAAATTTTGCTTAAACGAATTTCGTCATTTGCATTTTTTCTTTTGATTAATTTACAACAAAAAGGGAGCAAACTAAAATAAATGATACAACTATATAGTATATATATTATTAACTAACAAACTAAGACTATAGATAATATGGATGCGTGTTTTTACAATTTTATGAATGTATGAGTGAACATTTCTTTAGTTGATGAATGAAAATAAAGGAGGTCGTTAGTGACGAGCTGTTATACATATATATATAGTATATATTTCTGTTTAATTTTTGTTGTTTAACTCAATCCTTTGTTTATATTTTTAGATTCTCTTTGCTACAAAGTAAAACGGCATTAACTAAACGCTTTTGTATTTATATTATTTATTTTAATGTCTACGCTTTGCACAAGTTTTAAAATGTGTATAATTCATTTGTGTTCTTGTTTTTTTTTTTTTTTTTTTTGAAATCTACTTGAACGTATGTACATACATATTTTCTTTAAAGCAGTTTTACGCAGTTGTCTTTTGCTGCTAATTTTAACCAACTAAATAGTCTAAAAAGGTGCTAAGGTAACATAAAACTAAATAAAAAATACGTTTTTGTGCCAAATCTTACAATGTTTAAAATTCGTATTTGCTTTCGCTTTGCTATAGGAATAAGTTAACGAATTTCTTAAACAAAAAATAGTGCAAATATTTATAATTATTTCTCTACATAGTTAAAATAATTTTAATTTATTTTTATCGCTAAAAAAATCAACAAATATACATAGGTAGTGACAACTGTTTGCTGAAGTTGTTGTTGCAGCTACTACTGCCTATTTATCTTTACAACTTTTGCGGCAATACTCGTCACATCACTCACTGCATGCTTTGGAGGGCTGCCGTGCGGCCTTCCCCCATCTCTCACACGTTGCTCTGCACTATTATTATATAATATATATGTATATCGCACAGCACATCTACTCGCCATCCTTTGTATCCTGTTTTAATAATATATATCTATCACTTTGTTGCTTTCACCACTGAGTTTGCGCGTAAAACGTCATGTCATGTGATTGCTGCTGCATCGTAGTTCTTTCTTTGTTTTTGCTTTTAATGTTTTGTGTTGCTGTTGTTTTTACATCACTACTACTACTTTTTGAATTGTGTGACGGTTGTCACATTCATATGAATTAACATTACTGTTATTGTTTTGTTGGCGTGTTAGCGTTAGCATAATTCACCTACATATTTATGGTTTGCTTAGGAGGGAGAGGGGCACTGGTAGCTTGCGCTCGCTTTCATTACTAAATCGGCTTACTCACATACTATACTAAGCTCTTTCTTGTAATGGACTATTGCTTTTACTTCGCTTTGATGATATTGTCCTCCCGACACGCTACCGCCGCAACTAGCGCCGCACCACGTCCGGAACCGTCTTCGGACAGCATCAGGTCGAAGCTAATGTCTGGCTTTATCAGTTCTGAGATTTTCTCCACCATCAGCGTGTGAAATTTCGGATGGAAACGATATACACTACCGTCAACGCCGACTGTCACCTGTTTTTCGTCCATTTTGTTGATAAGCGTCGCAATACCGCAGGACACCAAATGCGCAGCACGCTTTGAGACACATTCGCAGACATAACGGACATTGGCGCAATCCTCATCGGTGGCGTCGTTCAAGCCCAATTCGTCCAACACCATGCGGCAGTTGGTGAAATTATCTGGTTCATCAGCTTCGATTTCTGAAACATATTTCGTGAAGAATTGGCCGCGTGTCATCAACACATCTGAATCTTGTCCCTTGAAGAGTACACCTGCTTTGACCAGCTTAACTATCACCAAACGTACCAATTCGCCCATGTACATGCCCGAAATCATTTTCTCAAACAGTTGTTTGCCCGGATTGATGGAGTGTCTGTCGATTTCGTCATCGAATTCGGTGCGCAGGAAGTTCAACATACCGTTATTACCCAAAGCGCCCCACTCTGTATTAATGAGCATATGTGATTTGCCATTAGATGCGCCTTCGAACAATTCACATTCTTCGACACGCTCTACATAGCAAGCATTGGAACCGGTACCAACAATCAAACCAATTTTGCAATTATGATTCTTCCAGGCGCACGACATCAATGTACCAGTAGTATCGTTTAGAATAGCACAAATTTCAATTTGTACATCACCACGTCTCGCAATGGCGTCCTTCAATAGTTGCACAACATCTTCACCAACTACACCGGAACAATTGAAACCCTTCGTCCATGTGGACAAATGACCTCTGGTCAGACCGAGCTGTTGCAGTGGGAAGGAGAAGGTGAAGCCCAATGGCAAGCGCTCCTTATACACATTATGCTCCGACATGAAACTAGCCAAACATTCAGCGATGTGATCGAACAACTGCTGACCGGTACCGATCATGATGTGTTGTGGTATAGCGTAAATGCGTGATTCCATTTGGAAATCATGCTCCTCCTTCAGATGGATGAGCAGCACACGAAAATTGGTGCCGCCAAGGTCGAGTGCAAGGAATTTGCCACGTTCATTGCCATTTGGCAAATCTTGTACATACGTTACCCAGCACTTGACATCGGCTTTGGGATGTGTATCCTTGTTGAGGCCACGCTTGATCTCGTGCAGGATGCGATAATTTAATTCCTTGATCTGTTCATCCGTTAATATTAATTGCTGACATAACTCGTGAACCATTTTGTGTTTTTCCGCGGCACTAGCGTTAGCGTATGGTGGCGGTGGTGTTTGTGGCTGTGCTTGCTGCTGTTGCTGCTGCTGAAGTTGCTGTAACTGCTGCGCAGATGCCAATTTGTACGCGAAACTGGATGTAACATTGGCTACGCCGCCAACTGCGCCGTTAGCAACGCGTACGTTGTCTGTCTCGTCCGCTGACTGTATACTAACGTTACACTTGCATGCGCCGCAATGACCGCTGTTTTGATTGTTGCTGAGCTTGCTGCAATCGTCAAATTGTTGTTGTTGACTGTGGCACGAAAGCTTACCGATAACGTCGCCGTCGGTGCCGCGACAACAACCATTGACAATAGCGCTGCCACTGCTATTAATAGCAAGGCTCTGCATTGCACCATTCAAATCTTTCTCCATCTCTGTCGATTTGCCTAGCTTTTGCACAACGAGGTATCTAGTGTTGTTTTTTTCACAATTCGTTCGCTTCCGCGATTAGTTCAATGCAAATTGTAGGTATATATGCTTTTTCGCACAAATACGTTTTAGTTAGATGCTCTCAAAGCTTTATGTGACTTTGCAATAGTACGTTTCTGTTTTTTTCTTTTCTTGTTTTTTTACAAAGACCTGCGCTGTACTGTGGGGGGTGTGTGCGTAGGTTTGAATTGAGTAAGCTATATACACTTTATTAGCTTTTTTTGCAATATGCTTGTGCTACTCTTCCTGCCTCTTGTGTATCTCCTTGGCTGCAAGAGTTTTTTTTTTCAAAGCTTTCTACTTTCTATTCTCTGCTTGCACTCTGCACTTATTCTGCTTGCTGTTGCAATTCTTTGTGTGAATTTTTGCCGTTGTTGAATATACAAGTAGTTTCGGTTATTTTCGTAACACTTTGCTAGTATATCGTATGTTTTGTTGACTTTTGTTTTGCTCAAAATGCAGTCTTTGACTTTGCACTCATGAAAATGCAGAAACAAATTGAACACAACCAAAAAAATGCACGAATCACAAATTTCAACTTCGTCGTTTCATGCACGTTGTTGTTGTTATTGCAAAAACTAATGCAATGCTTAATTATCACCGTTAGTGATGTTGACTTTTACAAAAACGTCTTAAACTCAAAGTATTGTATTCTTTACAGAATTATTTCCTTGGACTTTTTGAATTGTACGATTTGTATTATATTTTCAATTTCCCGCTCGACCAACCGTCGTCTTTAAGCGTTCGCCTCGGAATCAATTCAGTTTGTTGGTTGAATAACCGTTTCAGTTTCGTTTTCACAGCTCACAGCTCGTAGCGGCGGCTCCGTTGTTGAGTTTGAAGGAACCTTGAAGGTCAAAATTGACAATTAGTATGTTGTATGTATAGAGCGCGTATGGAATCGTACAAAATTGTATGAGAGTACAAAAATGCCTAATACATACAGACATACTTAAGTATACTTATATATTAACTTAGCTATATACATATATGCATGTGTGTATATGTTATGGAAGAGAGCGCACAAAAATTATGTATTGAAAAGTAAATGTGACCACGTATGCCGCAATAACAAAAAATACGAAAACGCCAATAATAGACTTCGCTGGAACAATAAAATTTGAGAGCCGAGAGCGTTCGAGTACGCATGAGTCAGCATACTTCTAAATAAAAAGTGGGCAAATACGCGCCAGCCTATTTGTGAGCGCGTACTGGCCATATAGACAACCCTACATACTTAGTATATGTATGTATGTATCTACCTTAAATACACCGCACTACTTGCCAACACCACAGCGTCAAGTTAATAATCACATATGAGCATTGTTTTGCGTGGTCACTAACTTATGAGCTCGTGCTTTGCATGGAAATAGCACATACATATGTATTTATGTATATAGTATTTGCAACACACGTGCTTACATTCATATATCCATACATATGCTGCATTTATGTATTGGTGCCGACTTTGGAGGCACGTTTGTTGCTCTCTCTAAAAAAATCACTTGCTCCGACTTTGTTCATTTTTTCTTTCAACTCATATCAATTTGTGTTAATTCTAGTATATACTCTTTTCGTACAGTTTACTGCAGGTATGCCAGTTATTATTTTTTTCCGCTCGTAACTTTTGCTCCCCTATAAAGACTGTCTCTCTGGCGCGCTCTCAATGTGGGCACGGTTCTGACTAATTCATTAAATTCGTTCTCGTTAATTCAACTCACAACTCACAGCTCACACGTGTTATCCTAAAGTCCGAACGACATGTTCTCCGTTGTGGTGTCTGTCGTCAACCCATAATTATGTTAACTATATTGTTGAGGTTACTCTTTGCTTCTAGAGGTAGTAAAGAATGCTAGTAGTTTATTGTCAGGACGCTTAGTTACTTATATAGGCATTGAGTTCTTGTATTGTTTCAGTCTTTACCGTGTTTGATTACGGAAAATCTACACTGAGAAGAAATTTGTAAGCGAAGCTTTCATTTTTGTGGCAATTCTGAGTAATTTGTAATTACATTTTAATTCAGTCACCGAAATTATGTGTAAAAATTCATGAGATAATATTAAGTAATAATTAAAAATAACCAGTCAAAACTATCTTATCAGTTCATAAGATGGCTCCAAAAGTACTGATGGACTTTGCCATGACAGATTATTGCTCTTTTGGTTTGACGGTTAAGCTCGAGAGCGAAGTTACACAAAAGTACGCTTTTTATGATACAAAACTATGCTTTATTCGGTACTTGCCCCAACGAGTTGCAGTAAAGCATTCAAAATAGTCGACTACCAAGGTTTTGGAGATATTATTTCATTATGATATTTTTTTTGCAGTTATACTTTTTGATATATTTGCTTTGTTGAGCAAGAAAAATTTTTAATGAACTTTTTTCTCAGTTTTCGTATAAAAACACTTTTTTACAAACATAAGATGATGAACAATTATAGCATTTATAAATACTTTTTTCCTTAAAATAAATTTTTTTTTATTTTCGTTTAATTTCCTTATATTTTTGGATTTTTTTTTAAATACCGTAATATTTTTCATTCAAATTTTCTCGTCTTTGTAAACTGCATTTTCACGCAACTTTTTCACAGTGTATCGCATGTTGCATGCTTGGAATGCGGTTCAGGCAGCTACATATAGTATGCATGCGACACTTCCATACATATTCATCAAGCAAAGGGGATTTTTTTGTCAGAGCAGGCTGGGTGGTATTGTTCGCTCGGCAAAGTAGAGGAAAGTTGAAGAAAAACCCCCGTACTTTGTTTTATATTAATTTCACAGTATTTATTGTTCCTAGAAATGGGCTCGCCTTCATGGCTTTCCATACCTTAGAGTTAAGAAATGTTGAATGCACTTAAAACACCTCTACATATACATATGTATATATGTACATATATTGAAGTGACTTGTGTAAAATGTATTTAAGTGTATACACCCACGTGCATGCAAATGTGAGTGCAGACATATATATATGTATGTATGAATGTATGTTAACATAAGCATATGTAGGCAAAGGTGAGGTGTTGTTTCAAGTACACCTTTTGCCGCTTCTACGGCATAAATAATTCCTACGTGCCACAGCTCAGCTGCAGGTACAAACAGAAATACGACACATCACCGGTACAGGTCCACATACTAAATGTTCATCAATATTTTATTGATGTCAGTGTCATAAAAAAGTAAATAAAATGTCGAAATATTCAGTTGTCAGTATATTGTTGTACGTATTTATGTATGTATATATGGATGTACAAGTGCAACCGTCTAACCAAGTGTACAGACCACCAATGACAGAACGGTCATGAGCTCGTACAGTTGCCTTTTGTATTGTTTTGATCGTTTCAATTTGGAAAACGGTAGTAATAAGCGTTCTATTTTGCACTATTACACAGATGTAGTTTTCAGTATGCATATGTATGTATGTACATATGTATTTCCTATACTCATATTTGTATATGCTTGTGTGCATTACCAACTGAAGGCTCTCTCTAAAAAGCTCGTGCGTACGCGATATTGCACTCGTCAGCACAAAATAATGAATGCATGCAGAAAACCAGATATATGGACATATGTACATACATACCTTACAACCAAATGTCAATATGTACGAGTTTTTGTTTTTGTGTGGATAGGTTTACGAATATACAAGCATATATGTTTGTATGAGTCAATTCCTGTATGCTTAACTCATTCGTCGAAATTAATCTGCAGCTGAGCATTTCAACATTGCGAAAATCCAAAACATAAGGAGTAGACGAATTATATTATTATTTTCTTTCGCCTTAACGCTCGTTAAAGGCAACGTCACGCGCTCATATGCCAAACCTCTGGCAATTTGCTGACGTTCGAATTACTTTCAACGTTGAACGAATTTTTTGCGACACACACACACACATAGAGATATAACCATTTCTTATTTTCGCAAAATTTTTAAGTATACGCAGTGGCCTTTAGCATTCCAACTTGCTCCCGCCTCAAAGGTACTTACATATGTACAAATATTCGCATACATACCTAAGCAGCAAATATGTATGTATGTATGTATGCGGAATACACACTTTGTGCATACGAACTAATGCGCACTACAAAATTATAGTTTTTGTTTAAAAACCTAAACTTTGCATATTTACCGATACTCGTATGCAAACATATCTACATACATAGTAGGGCAGACGACTTAAAAAGCGTATACATAAATATTTTCGCAACTGTGCATACGATTTGCGTAGAACGTGCTATCGTGTCGTATATTCGGTCGCACCGATTAATGTCTTAACGCGCACGAGCTACAAGGTATGTAGGTGCCCGGCTGAATGGAATTTATACTCTATCTAGATATGTTTATATATCTAAATATATGTATGTATATATGGATATATGTAGTAGTATTGTCGGCGATGGCGATGGCGGTGGATTTTGATGTGCGCACATGTGTGAGTGAGCGACAGGTTTTCAGTACACGTCTGTGCGCTATATTTATGTACATATGTGTATTAGACTGCTTTATGTATGTGACGTTTTAGTGGGCGTTTTGCCATTTGTATAAGCTACAAGTTAATGCATGGAGTTCGGGCCCAAAGAGGCATACGTTTCTTGTCGTGTCATTCTCAAATACTTATGTACATACGTATTTATATCTATACAAATAGTATAAACTGGTTCACGAGTAGTTATTTTAAGGTTAATTGAAGAGAGCTTAAGTGACATACATATTTACATTTATATTAAATTTTTATAACTATTAATATTTATATATATCCAAATTACTATTCATGTAAAGTATGTATATATGTAAGTATTGTACGTTCGCTAATTACGAGTACTAATTAAGGCACTTAAAAATTCATTTTTTAAAGTACTGACTTATACACATATATGTAACTTATATATTCCACGACTTTCAACTTGTAGACTTTAACCAGAAAATAGAGAAGCTTGTCAAACAATTGTCAATACTTAGACAAGTCATAAAATTATGTACTAACAAATGACGCAAAACTGTGAGAAAAACTTTCCTCGATGTTTCCCCGGTGAATGTCAAGTTATCATACTTATGAGCTGTTCGTTGGAGATTAAATTATTGTGAAATAATATGGAACTCAAGCCATTAATGACTTTGAACTGATCTACATTGAACTGAACTTCCCAACATTGGCAGATTACTCCTATATCAGTACCTTATTTATCTGCCATTTACGTAAAGCCGATATAAGGTATACATATAAAAATATCGAACGATATGCTGCCAAGCCGTTAAAAGAGAGATAAATTTGGAGTGTAAATTTCATCAATTTTATTGATAAGGTACGAGTGGGTGTGCATATGAATCATAGTTGTATGATAAGGAAAAATATTGAAAGGAGGTGTGATAAATAAATATGTATGTATGTATATTATAAATACATATAAGGAGGGTCTATATTCCACATAGGCTCTATGGAAAATATATAATATATATGTATATTATATGTACATATATGAGTATATAAATGTATGCATTATATAGAAGCAAATTGCTTTATTGAAGGTGGAAAATCATGTTATGCTAGTGAAATTAATTAAAGATCTTTGTATTTTGTGGACAGCTCATTTCTTCTTCATTGTGATTAACATATCGACTAATCAGTCAATCTCATTTAAGAATGCCCAAATGTCCATATGCATTAAGTTTGTTCTTATTTATATTTGTGTATATTTCAATGCACAATAGCTACGGAGGCAACATGCAAACATATGTACATACAAACATACATACAGGCATACATATGTATGTACAACTATGTACATGTAATGTTATCAGCGCCAAGCAGGAAATGACACTCAAACTCTGAGTTCATAGTTTTGTGT